TCTGAAGCTTATGTTCTTTTACCAATACGCAAATTTATATAGGAATGTTTGTGCTTTTCTCTGCAACTTCTTCCCGCAACCACCGATAGGAAAATCGTCTGCCTAGGCTTTCAGTTTAGCGCATTCCAAGTCTCTGAATTGCTGAACTGCCGTATTAGCCAGGAACATTGCTATGAACATTGAGGGAGACCGCATAACATAGATTTCTTTACAATAGTGTTCTCCAGCGTAATTTGTACTCTTCGATCTTGCAGATAGCTTCTTATGGGATCATGGTTATGGTGCCTAGGCATGAAACAAAGCCAAAAGTGCTGATCACATCAGGCCCGCAAAGCGAGTTGAATGCCTTTTTAATATCTATAGTAATAACGATCGAATATCACATTGTAGGCAGTAAAGGTCGCCATAATTTTATGCAATGTATCCTCCGTAGAGTATCCTGTAGAAACCGCACTGCTGAGGGTGAATTACAGCTGTGGTACACAGATAGAAGTTAAGTCTAGAAAGTATAATTCGTTAAACAAGTTTTTTAAGTGCTGGCAGTAGGCATACTAGCTTGTATGATAAAGGGTTTGCAGGATCCTTATAGCTGTTCAGGAACAAAAGTTTTCTGCAGTCTTCGTGTTTCATAGAACGTGGCATAGTCTCCAGCAAGCCAGTATAAAGCAAGGAATAAGTTCCAGAAAAGCTTGATGTAGAATACGAATAATAGCGTTACCTATGGGGGCCATTTGAGTGCTAAAGCCTGTATACATTTTAAGCTGTTAAAATATATTGGAAAGCAAGTGAATTACATTTAAATGATTTAAAATACTGTTACTCCACACTACATAGCACACTGATCATGTTTCTTATATAAACTTGCTTTGGAAACGATATAATTTTATTCACCGAGTTTTGAGAGCGATTTCTTAATCTGGTATGGCGTAGGAAAGTATTGGACTTATCAAAGAGATTTTGCTCTAAGTGTTGAATTCCAGCCAAGTTAGATGTACGAAAACATGTCAGTACTTTTCTTGCATGAAGATAAGGTTAATTCACTAGGCTAATGTTAAACATTGATTTTTAACCAAATGTTATTGTATATATGGTTTCATTGCTTGCATTTTTGTTTCCTTTTGAATTGTCACATGTTTGACCTAATAGCATTGTCTTGATCTGGTATAAGTTTTTGCTGTTATGTTCTTGTGTATATCTTTTATGACAGAGATTTATCGTTTTGCTGGCAATGCAATAACTGATTATGATATTTTATATTTAGAATAAGTGGAATAGTCACAAATTTATGGGCTCATGGATCTGTATAGCGTAGGTAGGCAATTGCCTTATTGCCACTGATTTATTTTTGGAGTTAATAGACTGTATTATTATTTTTATTCTATTATGGTATCAAATCTGAAGTTTGAAATCTTCTGATTACTGTATATCATGACTATGTTACTTATGTTCTTGTGGGCCTCGTATGCCACTGTAAACTTATTTTCCTTAGTGATAATAAATGGCTTCTGGAGGCAGGGGCTTTAATCCGTGTAAGGCAGGCATCATGTCAGCTAGTGGACATGGTGCTGTACTGATTAATCTTTACGGCAAAGGGACAGTGCCCACGTCCACCGTCACTTATCACCTATCATGTCAGCTAGGTAATGGAGCCCCTATTCTCTGGTTAACAGCTAGTTTTAGCGAGTGCGTATTCAGCTTGCTCCTTAAGTTTCTTATCTAAAGTGATTCCTAATTATTTTGCAGAGGTCACAAATGAAGTTGAGTACCATAGATGAACGTATCTTTTACTCTCCACTGTTGCGAACACGATCCTTTTATACGCCATATTCTGAGGGTTGCAGGCGATTGAAAATGCAGCATTTTATTTTGTTCCCATTCTTGATCACCCTAAACCACTAGGAAAACAATCACACCTTAATGATCCCTCTTGCTTTATTTCATGCTTTATTTAATGGTTCATCAGAGCTATTTATCTAAGTGTATGAATACATTCTTGGGCGAATTCCCAAGAGAAAGTTTTTAACATTTTCAGTTCGCAAAAAGCATGGTGAAAAACACGTATAGTTAAATAGTTTGCACTTGAATTCAAATCAAACTAAATGAATTCAGCGGTTTTATAAACTTAGCGACAGCTAATGAAAACGAGTTTCTCACAGTCTAAGATGGTTAAAATTAACTGCAGTTTCACTAATAGAAAACGAGACCAGTTTCTTAAAAAACAGTTTAAACGATTTTGAAGCTAACAGTTCCACTTCGTCCACCATATGCTGACTTTTCTGATTATCACTTTCCTCTTTCATATCAGCAGGAACAACATCTGCTTTGCAATTCGCCATCCATTGCTTTCTAGCGACTGGAAGGCATACCTACTTAAACAGCGAGAATATTTCATATCCTAAAACTAGCGTGTTACACCGACTTATTTGCGTACTTAGCTCATCAACGTTGGAAAGATAAATATCTTACATTTGCCGAAAGGCAAGAGATTCGAATGAAAAGTGAAAAAAAAAAAAATGAATGACATATAAAGTAAATTAACGCAAAACTGTATTTGAAGACTAATAGTCCTTTTGGGCTAAAGAAAGCTGTGGGTGTTAAAAAAGTAATTAAATTTGATTTAATCTTCTTGTAATCAGTGTATAGTGCTGATTCATATATACTTCTTATCCTTATTCATGTTATACCAGAATTTAGATCAACAGTGTAACTTACGCTGATTTTTGTTTGCTGTATATTTTTACATTTTTGGTGTGTATTGCTGTTAAAATACCTTATATGAAGCATACAGCAAAGCTAATAATGTTTGCAGATGCCGTCCAATCGGTATAGTGGTCAGAGAAGCTGACTGTGATGCCGAAGGGCCGGGGTTCGAATCCCGGAGAAAGCATGGTTGTAGCTGTCCGTCCCTTCATAGGAAAGGCGATAGTGGCCCACCTATTAGGTGCCTCCAATAATAAATACCACCACATCCGGCCATGTATAGATTTATGGATTGGGTTACATTTGTAATTGTTCACAATCTGCCATTGGTAAGAACAAATGTTTGCAGATAAGGGTAGAGACTGTTTCTTACACTTGCTTTGTAATCTGAAAAGTGGAAAGAACACAATAGAACCGGTCCATCATTCTTAGGACGAAAACTTAAGGACAGTGTTCTTATTTGATAAAAATGACATCTGAACTTCACATTCTTTGTATTTGCTGCAGTTCCTCTAAATCTATGGTTTTCAACCTTTTATTATTCCATGTGACTAATATCTCCATGTGACAGTGCCATTTCTACCCGCCCCTAATTTTTAAGTGGTGTATTTCGAGTAATACATTAAACTAAAACTTGCATTTTCTTCCTTCCATTAGAGTATGCCGTAAAGGTACATATAATTCATTTAAGGTTACATTTATAATATTTTTATGAGAGTTCCCTAAAGGATAGCTGCCGTCTCACCCATTGTAAATCATTTAAAGAACTGCAACTAAGACATGCCCAAGTTTAGCTTCCACCTGAAATGTCAGATGAATAATATGTAGAAAATAATTGTCAAGCTCACATTCATATTCCGTATAGGCCTTTTTTAGAGGGCTCATTAAATTTCAAAATTTTTTTAATTTTCTTCTAAAAATAGCTGAATGGAAACAGATCCATTCCTGACAAAAATGCGCCCTTTAAATGCGTATACAAATTTCTCTTTTCATTATTCATGTAATTTACAGAATATTTTACAAAACATTCAGAACTGTCATATGTACAAACCAAAAAATAAATTGCAGATGGCTAAATCTTGCGTAAATACCTTGTTTTAAAAGTTATGAGCTAAATATTGTTTCTTCTTTAATTTTTGGGTGCCCAGCAGCGGCTAGGCGGTAAAGTCCCTGAACACTGGTAGTTCGGTCCGAGGTTCGAATCCCGCGAACGGGCTGGCTGCTTGGGTGTTTTCGTGGTTTTTCCCATATATGTAACGCGTATACGAGCCAGTTTGCCTTATAAAGTCCTCCACGAAGGCATCCCTTCCCTTAGGCAGATAGCCCTCGAGGCTTTGTTGTAATTAAGCAACCTAATCTAACCTCTTTAGTTTTTGGATGCCGGAATATTTCAGACATCCAGATCTCTTCTACTACAACTTAATGTTGTGCATTAGAGAGTTCCTATAAGATACCGCAATGCCCATTTAGAGATTTGAACAATTTTTTTTCTTATCTCTCCATGAAATGTTAAATTTCAAGGTGGAGATTATCCATATACTGAAATTCCTTGACGCATACGCGTTTCAAGGAGAAAGTACCGCCGAGAGTTTCCTTTCCCTGACAACGTCTTGCTTCTTCAGTGTACTATGCGTTGTTGTGTTAAAACTACTGAACCCTGTTATTGCTTTGGTGAAAGTTTTTACATCTAATGATCTACCTCAACCACTTTAAAGCATCAAATTTCATAATAAAACGTCCAATTGTTAGTCTCGCATCGGTAAGATATTTTCTCAACGAAATATGCATATTTCTCTTTTGGTCTTTCGTTGCACTCCTATCCTTGGCATTTTTGACTTTGAGGTATGTTTCTTAGTCTAAATTTATGCGGACGAGTCAAACTTCTTATGTCTTCTTATGACTTAAGAAAGCCACTTCATTAAGGACGAACTAAATTCCAAAAATCACACTTCGTTCATGACTTTCATTTGGTATATACTAATTAAAGTACAGACGGTTGTTCACTATATAAATACAGAATGTGAAGGGAAGGTTCTTTGAAGGGAATGCAGAGCACGTTATATAATTCAGCTTAAAAAATTTGGTTCGCTTTTTATTTTATATATTGAAGATTAACAGATTGTTCTGAAACTAAATAGTTTTTTTTTCTTTTTTGGGTAAGGAGAATGAAACTATTCATTTTATTTTTTTACGATTTTAATGAAAAATTTAAAAGCCTAGAAGAAAGAATGATGACAAAGAAAAAATATAAATAGGAAGAATCTGCGTCCATTAATTATTAGCACTCGAGTCTATTTTTCAGTGCAGTTATAATTTTATTGAAAGAAGATAATATAAAATTCAAGGCATAAACGTACACCCAGCAGGTATAAATAACTTTCTCAATACACAAGTCTAAAAGTATTTTGAAATCAACAATTTTTGATTTCGAGTCGCATTAAAGTATGAAAATAATTCATCCGATTAAAATGCACAATATTTCAAGGAGAATAAAATCTATTCAATTTTACATAGTATATCGTTTAGTCTCTGCATCTAATGCATTTGATTGCTCAGAAATTCGTTTATTATTTTCATCGTACCAATTTCCGGGAACTTTCAACCGATGGGCATGGAATTTTACACCTGATCTTTGGAATGACAGTAATTGCCCTTCAGTTTCGCTTGATGGGTTTGGATTTTGAACTCCGATTTCCGGATTGCTAGTAGCTTGTTCTTCAAACGAATCATCATCTTCGTTGAGTTCTCGTAAGCGCCTATCATACTGTAAGAAAAAGAGGAAAATATTAACTTTTCCATAATTGAACGAAACACTAAAGCAATGAAGCACTTGGCATATACATTTTGAAAAAAAAAATGTTAATAAACTTCAACATTGTTGGTTTTTCGAGGATAAAATCAAAATTTGATTTACAGCAGCCGAGTGGTAAAATCCCTCAACAGTAGTAGTTCGGTCCAGTGTTCACATCCCGGGGAACGAGCTAGTTGCATAGGCGTTTTAGTGGATTTTCCCATATGTAACGTGTATACGAGACATTTTCCTTTTGAAAGTGCTCCACGAAGATAACCCTTCGCTTAGGCAGAGAGTTCTCGAGTATTTCTCCATAATTAAATAAATCGAAACCATTGTCATAGAGCAATTTGAATTATTTAAACGAACGTGAATGAGGAAAATGCAGATGATCGTCAACTAAATAATAGTGATGAAAGTTTAGTGAAACAGAAACAGTGCCTGTGAAAGAATGAGTATCGGCAAGGAAGTTACCTTTCGAAAGCCTTTTACGTATCGTCGTGAAAAGCGAAAATTATTTATACCACATATAAGTAAAAAGGCCAGATAAGTTATCTTCGCGCCAATCGTAGTTCTCGATGCACTAGCCAGTACAGGAATTTCGGGTGATGCCAAGATAACTTTTGCTGTGATCTGGGTGAAACTGATTTCATTTTACTTTTTATTGCGGTAAAGCAATTTTCTGAAACATAACTTCTTAAACGTGTGATAGTTTCATCCTCGATATGTAGCTGTTTGGATAATTTGAGCAGTGTTACTCCTTGCAACACGTCTTTGTAACTTTGATCCCCCCTCCCAAAACCACAATTTGCTACTTTCATTCTTTTAGTCTGCCTGTACTTTTTCAGAGTTTTACTTCTACATTACACATTCTTTAGTGACTTATAAATTCATCATATAGGAATTGGAGCCTTTCCGATTATTTGGCAAATATTTCGAATTTCTTATAAAGCTTCCGTTTTACTGTCTGGCAAGTCCCAGAGACTCGGTGAAAGTAAATGCATAACATTTTGAAACTATAAAGGCCCATTTCCATTAGCGGAGTTTTAAAACCAAGACAAGCGCGCGAACTTTATGGCTTCGTTAAGCGGGAAAAAAAAGTTCATTCTTTGAGATAAAACCGAGTATCTAACACATTTTTCTGCATAAAACAAAAATAAACAATCTAAGCGATAGGTTTAGATTTATTTTTTAATTGATTTGTAGAATTGAACACAGTTTAATATATTTTGTCCAAAACTACTACATAGATAAAACATCAGATTATGGACAAATTTTAAAAATAATTTTGCAAATATAAAACTACAATTTTAATTTGTGGAAGAGAAACATGCCAATGTAAAATAAAAATGGTTAAAACATTTTATACTGGTGTGAATTTTATATTAAAATATCGATTTCGAAGATGACCGATTCGAATTTTTTTCTTCAAGTGGCATAATTATTTTAACTGAACATTTTTAAATAAAAAGAATCGCGTGTGTAATCTATTTTATTACTTTTAAAGTCTTATCAGCTAGTGTTCCTAGCATTAAGATAGTAAAATAATATGTTATGACAATTTTTCTAACACTCAAACTGTAAAACGACCCTCCAGCAGTGAGTGGTACAATTGCTAAACTATAGTAATACCACCCGGGTTCAAATCCCAACGAACTGGCTAGCTGAATGAAAGTTTTCCATATTTTAGGCATGATTAACGTGAATGCAAGTCGCTTCCTTTAAAACGTCCCCTACAAAAGCATTCCATCCCTTAGACAGGTTCTGACAACGCAGATAATTGTTATGCAATCCAAAGTTCAAAATAAATCAGATGAAACTGAAAATCTGTACATTTGTTAGCCAAAAAGATAGTTAAAATACCATATTTATTCAAAGATGAATTAATAGAAAAGTCTAAAAGAATAAATGAAGCTTTTATTTTCGTCTTTACGATAATACTGTTTATCTAAATTAAAGTATTTTTGCTATTAAAAGTAACGAAAAATCACTTAAAAAGAAATGGGTAATCAGCAGAAAATGTCCGAGTACATCAAATCAAAAAGTAAAATAATTTCACGTTAGTCAGCAGTTAATAGTTTACATTAAATCATTTCCTTTTATACCTCTTTAAGAAACTTCTTTCGCATAGAGTGGTCTAGTTATAATGTACCCTCGTAATTCATGTTTTTCTATTCTTCTCTCAATACAACCTTTGAATTTATATTGTCTATATATTCCGCCGAGATTAAGTCGGGCAATTATGGGTTTTATGTAGCTATTTTGCCACAGGTGCTTCACGATATTTGTGGTATCATTGGGAGACGTTACCTTGCTATAATTAATATTTTGCTTATCCCAAATTTCTCAGCATTCTGCATCAAACAATTTTACGGTACTATTTTCCTATAACCTGAGTCAATTTTCCACTGCGAATATTTTTTACAATTAACATCAGATTTTCTGTTCCTCGAGCTCTGGATCAGATTTTCTCCAATTTTCATTTTTAGTGCCACATATTCAGAATTTGCTTTCAGTGAAAAAAACTGCCACTTCCCGGAAGTCATTGGAATTGATTTTTTTTCTTTTGCAAAGATGTTTTTGGTCTGTCTACTTTAGAAATGAAATAAACTCTTCATGCTCTGACCACGGTAGCCATTTTTTTATTAGCTTTTGGGTTCAAAAACAAGAAAAATTTGCGCATGCATTTCAAAAAGAAAAGACTATGCAGGACGCGAAACTTTGAAACCTTACTTCATTTTTTCTCAAGTGTGATGCAGTTAAAACAAGATTTACCTTCATTTCTACGATTATACATAACGAGTTGCGCTTGCCGCAAATTTCGAGGAGAATCCCAGGCGAGGCCTTCGAATTAAAACTTCATTTAGTTTTATTTAATCAGTTTGTGGAGTATAGGATATGTTCTAATTGTTTCAACCATTTTCTCATAAGAATTTACTTTTATTTGATGTGACTTTTTTCCCTCCGATTTTCTAAATAGATTCTACAATCCCATAAATACATAATTTAAACATGTATTTAAGAAATGCACATGAAGATTTTTGACGCCTGCTTACGTTTATAATAGATTTTTTTATCAATATGATCTTTTGGTTACGAATTTGCAAGTATTTTGGTACTTATATTATTGCAATCGCTTTAATAGAAGGAGCCAAATTTTCAGAACTCATCAGATTCTGGCAACCATGCGCATAACATTTCTTCTGACAAACATATCCATTCTATGCTGTAATCCGAAAATTCATCAAATCACCTTTTCTTCTGTAAAAAATTGACAGACTCCTCCAAGATGGATGCGCTAATACGTAAGTACCAGTATTTTCTAGGAAGTATAATACATGAATTTGGGACAAGCGGCTGACCTCCGCCGTTCCATTAAATTATTTGTAGGGCGATTTGTTTACGCAGCTTATTTATTGAATAGTAATTTACGAATGAAGTATAAAAACAATAGGTCGGCTGATCTTCTACCCTAAATAAGCTACTTTAAATTTGAAGCTAAAAACTAAGCATTAAATTTAACTGATGCATGCTTAATCTGCTCAGAGCTGATCGATATGCAGCGATTCAAAAAATTATTAGGGCATAGAAAACATTCAAACATTTAGTCACAAAAATTCAGCAATTATTACAAAGCTAAATATTTTTTATATCTTTTTATTTATATTTTTAATAGCATGCTGCGTCTATTATGGAAGCTAACTTTAAATAATATTAATGAATAAATGAGATATTTTAAATGCCTCGTCTTTAAATACAACATTAAGGTTAAAAAAAATGAATCTGACGTTACCTTCTAAACGTTATAAAGAGCCAATGCTAATGGACTTCTCTTATTAAAATACCTAAAAGAAGGATTTCAAACGTTTAAAATACAATTTAAGATTGAGGAACTACCTTGATGACATGACGGCTCTCGTGTGGCCTCTTTGGCTGCTATAGATCTTGGGGGGCGCGGTGCTGAACTGATTCGCCCTATGGTAAATGTACAGTGCTCGCGTCTTCCGTCAATGGAATGGAATGGAATGATGACATGACACAGAAAATATTCCGAGATTTCTTTTGATGTGAGCAAACTTGCTATTTTTAAGAAGTTCAGATTTTTTTTATTGTATGGTTTTAGATGCTATAGCTGTTTAGTTAAACGGGAAGAAAACATACCGAAAGGTGACAGGTGTCGGGCCGAACGATAAAATTTAGGTAAGAAGAAGTGGAATCGCAGGATAAGGAGATGTCAGTAGAATTCCAGGTATTCAGGAATTAGCGCAACCACCTCGGCGCAATTTGGCGATTTTTTAAAGAAGAAAATGAGCGATTACTTATTACAAAAAATATACTCAGATTTTACAGTTTTAAATAAATATTTTCCCCGAACATCGATCACTAAAACTACTTATAAGCGAGTTTTTATTTCTTGTGTTCTGGAAAAAATTTCATGACTGTCGGCCAAGAATACTAGATTCAATTTTTTTAAAGCAATTTAGTGGTAAAATATTGTAATCCTGCAGAAATTTTGTCCTAGTTACTTCTATTAGGGATAATTCCTACAAATGCGTGCTTTAAAATTGAGCTTAAGAAAACTTATCTATAAAATCTGTTGGCAATTTTACTATAAAAAATTGCTATCCTCGAAAGTGGGGAGTATATTATTAAACCTGAATTTTTACGCTAATGGCTGCCTGAGGACCTGATCTTTAGCTACAGTTTCCAGAGTTTGGCGCATTTTGAAAATTTGGAGACTTCTGTTAAGTGGCCTCGCTAAATAAAGAAAGTTGGTCTTCTGGTAGGAATTGGTTTGATGATACCCCTTTGTGACTACGAGTACATTATACTAGTACATATAGAAATGACAACGTCTGTCAAATATTACAAAGAAAAGAACACGATTTGTCATAATATTAGCCATATTTTAACATACTGTACTATGTCACGATTATGTAACAATAAATCAAGAATTTTCGGTGGTATCTGCCATGAAACAAAAGCGTGCTTCTTAAAATTTTAGAAATCTAAATAATATAGCCTAACAGATGGTATGCCTCGTTGAAGAGTTTCAATGAACCGAAAAATGCCTTAATTTTAATTATTAAACTCACAAGTTTTTCCTTTTATAAACTGAATTTACGTATTTAAAAAATTGAATCTTAAAACTTCAGATTACAGTGTAGCATATAAAAAAATTGCATTTAAAAATAAAACACAAAACATTTCGGATTTCTTCGCTACAGGCAAAACACGCCAAAATTATCTGTGGAATGATGAATGCGTGAACTTGTTTCTTGCAACGAAAAAGAAACCATTTTCTTCATCAGTTTACTTTGATATGAGCTATTTCAACTGTGAAATGAGACATTTCAAACTCATTTCTTATTCGAATTCATAATTCATAACTATGTAGTTAACGACACAGAAATTTTCTATGAAATACATCTCTAACGTTAGGTATTTCATTAAACAAAGAGCAATACACTCGTAGAATGACACATTTTAAAAATTCTCTATGAATAAATACTTTAAGAAAAATAATATTGTTACAGATGATAAGAACTATCTATGCAATCTGAGAACGTGTATCTTTGTATAAAAAATTGTTTGGCGCGTATTATCCTATAACGGTAAAAATCTGATAAGTGTTTAGCAGAAATCAAAGAGAACTTAAATATTTACTTCTTACATTAAAAATACTGCAGCTGCATATAAGTACCAGTGTAATTCCAGTTGAAAAACCAATGATTTCCCAAATTAATGGCACATGGTCTATCATTATTCCAAGAAAAACCAGCATGCAGATTGCTACTAAAACGAAAACACTGCTAAGCAGACAATTGCGAAACAGTTTAGATTCCAGTTTTCTTTTTCTATATAGTACATATTCTCTTTCTGCTAAATTTTCCAGGAGGTCCAGTTCCTATAAAAATATTAGAAATGGTTAATATACACTCGTGTCCTAGTATTCTCTATTCATTTATCAGTGGCTTAATTTTTAATTTTAAAGCTAAAACAAACAATTCTTAAGTTACAGAACACTAGCCAAGGAATAATGAACAGTGACACGTTAAACACACTCTCAGTACCATGTACTATATCCATGAGCACATCCCTGGCTACACACTCAAATGTGCATGCTTAATTTGACCCATACTCAAAAAATATTTTTCAGGTACCAAATCCATTAAAAGTTAACAGCCAAAAGTTTTCATAATTTAGAACCTTAAAAAAATCTTATATACCTTACCTTCTCGCTTTTGTTAAGACTTCTTACAGCCTCTCGGGAAATAATTTGAAAAATTTTCATCAGATATTTGAGCCAATATTCTTCCTACGCTTTTTTCAACTTATCTTCCAAAACAAATTTATTGGAAGGATTGCTCTTATTTAATTATTGTTGAAGCTTAATCCCGTAAATTTTCCATGGAATTGAGATCTTTGTTTTGGGTAAAAATTTTAAGAACTCCAACAATTACATAACAGTAGAATCAATGTAATAAGTTTAAATTTTGAGCATTTTAGCATTTCTTTTAAAAGTGTGCAAAATGCATAAATTTATACTTCTTAATTAGGTATTTGTGTACAGCTTCCCTGAAGCCTCAAGCCTTAGCTTATATTCATCGCAGTACTTTACACAGGCATGAAGTTTCTAGGTTTAATTGTCATATTTTGTTTTTACCAAGTTTTCTGTACAACATAAAACCAAGAACTTTGAAATTTGTTTTCAGTTAAAAATTACTTAACTTTATTACTTTATTTACAAATTTAATATAATGCTTACAAATTTAAATTTATATTTGTAATAATATTTACAATTTAAAATTTATTTATTCAACAAATTTTTATTTATATTTTAAAAATTTACCTTACTTGCGTTAAGATTATTTTCCTACAGAAGCTGGGTCTTGAAATAGTATGCTTTCCGACAACATTGTTTACTATTTGGGGAGATTACTAGTTAGCAGAAATGTTTTTCGACTACACGACCTAAGCTTATCTCCCTTTCTTCCGGTACAAGACCTTTAAACATGATTTTCCCTATGCATTTTCTTGCGAAGGTTTTAAGTTGAATTTTATTTTCCACGGATTTAGGTTTTAGTACTATTTTAAATTACACCTACTCACGACCGCTGGTTAATTTTTCATTCATGTTTTATGTCAATAATCCATTCTTATAACGACTGACAATCAACTGTTTCAGACAGCTTTTATAATTACTTGTCTGGCTCACTTTCATAGTCAAATTGAAAATAAGGGATTTTGCAGTCTAAAATAGCCTACAAAAAATATTACAAGAATTTTTAAAGTATCCTGCTGTTAAAAAACTTCAGTTTTCTCAAGTGTCCAAAGCATATTGAGTCCATATTCTGCTTTACCATATTATTAATATTCAACTACGTAGTATTCATAATTATATTTCATACAAAAAAAAGTGTCTAAATGTACATTTCTTGCTGTACAGAGTCTGAATACAATTTTGATCGAATTATATGGTTCGCTCTTTACGCTTAGCCCCGTCAGAAAAATAATTTCAAGATTTTTTTAAACAGTTCAAGCTTCTTTCCAAAATTTGCTCAGCATGAACTAGTTTAGAAATATACCTCTTTTCAGCTTTATCTAATATTTGAAGATTAAACTAAATAAAATTCCTTAACGTTCTTGTATACGAAAAAGAACTTCCCAAATGTGTATATGCATTTCTAAAAATAGACATTTTACATATAATTCACATTACACATAGAATATAATAGTACAATAAATATGCATCACATATTCATATATTATAAAAAACTGCGTTAATTTTTTTTTTTGAATGGGTCAGCTCACAAATAAAAGTCGCAGCACACAGCATATTTATAAAACGAATAACATCTAAGATTCTGTTTTGTTTCAAATTATCTTAACAGAGGCTAGACAAGCATTAAATATAAGCTATGCTAAAATTAAGGTGATTGTTGATTAAAAGCTTTTTTTACATTGTAATCCAATTCATTGTATTAAAAAATGAACTTAAATCAGCAAATGTCATTTTAGTTTGCCTTTTTACTAAACATTTTGAAAAAGTAAGCACGAAACTCGTAGAATAAAGTTTCACATTGGGTAGTCGTTTGTAGACTTGATGAGAGAAACATTTATGCGACAAAAACACATATATTAATTGAATCAACTAATTTATGAAACTTCATTAACTTACGGAAGCAGCAGAGAGAGAACCGTAGTTTTCGACTTCACTCATGATAAAAACACAGCTATAGTTAAAATTTTTATAAGTAAATATTCAACTATAAGGAAACCAGAAAGGAACAAGTCGTGATATAGTTTACAGTACCTTCCTCTTCTTAATTTAGCAGTTTTCTACCAAACACAAGGTAGATATCCTTAGTAGCTTTGCGACATTCAAATAATCTGTCTAGCGAACACAGTAATTTAGCATTTGCTTCTAAAATAAATATTGTAATTTTTAAGAATCACAAAAGTATTTAATGGTATGAATTTACACTCTTAAAACTTAGATAAAAGTAAAAAGTGTTCATTTCTAGTTTTTAGATATCTTCGCATTTTTTCTTTGTATGAAAAATATTAAGAAGTTTTCAGTTTTACAGATATCTACTTTATGTAAATTAATGTACACGCTAAATAAGTTTAAACAAATTTACGGTGCAAGTAAATTTTTTGATATAAAATACGAATAAAAAAATTCTCTTAATAATAATAATAATAAAAAGTGTATGGAATAAATTATTTAATGATAAAACTATTGAACAAAATGCAGTTTAGTATACGATTAGTCAATAAAGGGAATCGGAATCCTACAGATTGTTAGCATGTTTGTTTAATCAGCTATGGCAAAACGCGAATGACTGTCTGCATGAGGAGAATAACGGAGCGTTTAACAAGCGGAATTTGCGATGTTCAAGTAGCATAAGCAAATCTTCATGACCAGGCAGCCATATCTTACTATCATCACAGAAACTGGTAAAAAGTTTTGTTTAAATGTTCTAACTGTTGAACGTAATGCCAGCTTTGTAGAAGAATCGACCAATCACAGGAAAGCAAATATGAACTGATGATTTCGCTGCATTTTCAGTCAGCTGCACTTTCACACATACGCAGCCCTAGCTGACTAACTTAACCTCTGTTCCATAGGTATGAAAGGAGCAAATGATGCTTACATATTACGATTATGATAATAATGACAGCTAAATCATCGTGTGAATGTTCCCCATTGTCTTTATGATAGACATTCTGAGGGATACTGACTTACATTTACGTTGCAGACGGGAAAATCAAGGAAACTCCCTTGCCAAGCCTGCTCACCGGAATTTGAGCAGCTTTGGAACAACCAGTGATCAGCGATCTAACGCACTCGACCTTGATGGGTCTTATTACTACTAAATATTATTGATATGATTTATACAGAATCAAATATACCTTAAACATATTTTTTTTTTCTGTAACATCAATAAGGGCTTATTCAAAAAACACTAGACCTGGGTTCAATTCCAGACGAACGGGCTGGCGTTTTTGTGGTTTCCCCATGCGTAACGTGTATAAGAGCCAGTTTGCCTTAGAAAGTCCTCCCGGAAGATATCTCTGCCCTTAGGCAGTTAGCCCTAGTGTACTTTGTCACAATCAACTACACGATACTAAACCAAACCAAAAACAGTAAGTGAAAAACAATATGTGCTGGAGAGAAGACAAAAGCTTTAAGCGCGAAATATACACCCCAGAATATATTTACAAAGAAAAGAAAAGGTGATTATACTTAAATAGACTGAACTGTTGTTATGTAAATATAAAAAGACAGCATTTCATTGGGTACAGAGAAAATAGACATAATGCATTTACGAAATTTAGTCGTTCCACAAACTATTCTAGTTTATCAAACAATCACATAATGATTGACTTGGAAAAATAAATTAATTCTTTAACTAGCAAATGGTAAAAACACATGTTGCTTCTGAGCAATCGTGAGAAGTAAAAAATTAAAGAGCTTTTGTTTTGCCAAATGACAACACTGTGAGAACTGACCTTTTGCCAGGCGTGAGGAAGATAAATTAAGCACCTCATGCTTCGCGTAAGTCTCCCTCTACAATGTGGCGGTTAGTGGAGGTTGATTACTAGACCTAACTCCAGGGTGTGGGTTCATATCCCGCGTAAGCCTTTCTTTTATATGTCTCTTAATGACTATTGTGTTTCGCCACTTCTGACAAATGAGCCAATACACCGCCATTTCGTAAAGAAAGGAAAATGGTTTCGCACCGTGGCAATACGGATTATCGTGAGTAATTGATAAGTTCATGACATCGTGACGTAAGGTAACGGCTCAAAAATTTCTAAACACTCTGCGAATCATGTTTCAAAAGTCACATTTGGGAAAAAACTCTACTGAGAAAATTTTTAAGATGTACATCAAAGCGGACGACTTACAAGATGAAAACTTCGTTCAACATCTATGGCAAAATGTGACATTGCTACTAAAGGTGCTACTAAAGGTAGAGGTTTTTGTTGATCAATCGGAGTGAAGGCATGAAGGTAATTTGGATAGATTCTTAAAATAAAATTATCGCATAGACCAATGATCCTCTTCAAAGATATTAGTTACCTGTGACCTGTTGGTTGACCGTGGCTTTCAGTGGCGGTCACCACTGTAGGGCAACACAATAGAGTTAGATAAATTTTAAAACAAAATGACACCGATGCTCATCAAAATAATTGTTTACCGGTCTCTTACAGGTTGGGTTCTTCAATCGCCAACTGGTTAAGAGGGTTGAATATTTCAGCCGGGCTTCGCTGCATGGTAGGTTTTTGTAGCTTTTTCTATGTGTAACGTTAATAAAAAAACCGATTTCCTTTGAAAGTCCTCCACTAAGACACCCCTCCTATTAGCTCTCGTGTGATTTGCCATGATGAGATAAACAAATCAAAAATCCAAGTCAAGGCCTACAGGTTGGAATCGGTGATGTTCAACCAGTGTGTTATAGCGAGGGGCTGTGCAATTTATTTAGATTAATTTAGAAATAAATTATTAAATCATATAGCAGTGCCGAGCAAAAATACGTTTCACCAATAATTTATAAATTGATCGTCATTAATGACCAATCCATCTGTCAGCAATGTAGGACAGTAAAATAACGTAAATAAATTCTTTATATAAAATTAAACTGTCCTACGTTTTGTCACCGGTCTTCTACAGTTAAGTGTTCAATAACTGTTGTTCAATTAGTATTTACTAATGTGAAGCATTGCTGTTAATTTACGTAAACTTTTAAAGTAAAATTAAATGACTGTTAAGACTGTTGGTCTCCAGTCCACAAAAACCTGTTGATCACAGAGAGCCTAAGGGTTGAAAGTCGTTTGAGATACAAATGATCCGCGGGAAACAGTTCAGCAACTCATATTCATTTAAAAATTAATTTAGGTTATAAAATCGAAGCCCATTAAGGCCAATATAGATTACTGGTAGCCTCAGTAGCACATAAACTGACAGTCAGTATTTAACGTGTGTCCATCGACGTTGTTAGCCACTGGTAACTAGCAGTTAAGGCTCACTGAAGATCAAACCATAAGTGGCAATAATAACAAAGAAATTTGATAAATTTTTTTTAATAAATTTAAACTGGAGGGCACTGATGTCAGTAATTACTGGTTAGCATATTTTATAGCTACTAGCAGCTAACACATAATATCAATGATTCTGGGTAGTGCATTTAAATTGAATGAAATAGAAGAAAAATCAATGACTGCCGATGCCATTACTCTTTAATTATTTACAGATTTTCTTTTGTGACAATATGACATAAAAAAGGTAGCACCACCAAAAAGGTGGCAGCACTGGCCAAAGTATTAAAAAAATACTTGATAGCGTATCGTAGCTTAATATAACACCCTAAGGTTTCCTGTAAAGTTTCCTTATGGGTAAGAAACCCCTAAAGATACTCTTAACGCAAAAAATCCCTTAATTCTCACTAAAAGCATATGTTGGCTTTACTTGTATCCTATCAATTTAACACATTTCAGAGTATTTGTCAGTATATAAAATTAGAAATTCGAAATTTAATTACGATGTTTAGAAACAATAATATTTATACCGATAAAAATCACTTGCATTTCAGAAAGCCGAGAAATAGTGAAACGTCGAGAAATTCATGTTGGATATCTCAATATGGGTTCAGAAAATATTAAGCATTATATACTCTCGATACTTTCATATATTATCCAAAGGCATTTCAAAATATGTGTATCTGTTTATCTAAATAAATCCTATAAGCTGTCGTTAAAATTTATGATCATGAAAACATAATGATATCCTTGAAGTTTGTTTAGGTATTAAAAATTTTGTTCTTGGAATCACAACAGAATACCAATGAAAGATCTTTTGCTATGTCTTATTCACACCAGGTTTAGAGTGTGCAATTTGAACAAAGAAATACAAAAATGAACTTAAATTATGGATTAAATTATGGAACTTAATCATGGATACGGTGTTTTTCTTCAATAACAGCAAGTTTAATATATCCATTTACAAAGATCACAGTAGGATTCAAAGGAAAGACAGAAAATAAAGCACCTCATGCCGAGCGTTAAACAGAGGAAAAAATGTAAATTTTCTGAAAGTCAGTGGCAGTTCCCAAGCTAGGAAAAATACTTTGCATTAATGGACTGAATAAGATCTGAACAGAAGAAAATACAATCTGTTTTTTTCTAGTAATAGCTTGAAAAATAGAAACAAATGAAATTTTCAACAGGATAATTATCGTAAATACCTAGTTAGACCAAGAAAGCACGGCTCTTTTTTAATACGTTCCAAATCAAGCAACCTAAATCCTGTTTGGAAACATATGGGATGGTTTGGTTTATTGAGATTACCCCAAAACACACTAGGGCTATCTGCCTAAGGAAGGGATGCCTTCTTGGAGGATTTTCTAACGGAAACTGGCTCGTATACACGTTTCACATAAGAAAAACCACGAAAACGTCCATTCAGCCAGCCCCTTCGCCTGGAATCGAACCCACGTCAGAACTATCAGTGTTCAGTGACTTTATGAAGTAAGGGAAGAAAATTCAAAGTAACAAATCGGAGCTCTGTGAAAGATGCCCTACGAAAAACAAAACGAAGATTAGTTTTAGTACTGATTAAACAAAAGATTGTAACACGTTGTAGAGTCAAGGGAAAATCTTACCCCCCTCCAAATATTAAGAGATATTAGTCAGCCCTGTTCTTTGTTTGATTTTAAACATGTTGTATGTGGAGATTTATGTAACATATTTTAGTTATTAATTTTTAATAATTATGTAATTTAAATAATTTTTCGTGTGGGATATCTTT